GGAACCCAAAGCCCAGCCCCAGTGCTGCTGCTGGCAGGGGTGAGAGCATGCAAGGAAGAACAGAGTGGGTTGGGTTTGGTTTGAGACTTGGCAAAAAGCTGAACTGACTCTAATTGACCAATTGAGCCTCATTTGGAGAGCCCAAAGCCTTCTTTGGAGAGTCCAAAGGCTCATTGTTGAGCCCAAACCCAGGTCAGGGACTGATCCTCCTCTTTAGGATTCATGTTCTGCCATTTGGAGAGCTCAAAGCTTCTTCTGAGCCTCCAGCAGTGTCTGCCCAGCAGCCTGTGAGGGGTCATTGGACCAGGGCAGACCTTTGAGGAGGCAGGTGACTGATATGGGATCAATCCATCCAACCTCGAGGCTTTCCATGTTGAAAATTTCCTGTTGGAAAGTGTCCCAGGGGATTCTTGATATTTGACATAAACACCTGGAAATGTGAGCCTGCAGGATGACCTTCCTCTGATCCCAGTGGCTGTGGGGTCAGTCAGAGACAGACTCTAAAAATTCTGCCCAGGAATTTCTTTATTCTTACAAGATATCAGCTTGTGCTAATAGATATAACCATTGATTGTGTTAATAAACCTCTAAAAAGGGGATGAGAGCTCAGTGTTGAACATTTTTGTGACAAAATCTGAGTCAGTCTGAAGCAGCAGCTGGACTGTTTGGATATAATCCCGTGTCCTGTGGATATCAGGAGCATGGACATTATCCTGGCTCGTTTAATGTGCTCCAGCGCCCCCATGTCACTGCTCTGCAGAACCCCCAGCACTGCTGAAGTGCTCTGTTAGAGAAGAGTTGTGATCCTTCAGCTTTTGAAATCCCTTTGGGTCCCTGCAGGGGTGGAAAGCAGGTGCAGCACAGGAGCTGTGCTCACTGTCCCCACACACAGTCCCAACACCCCCCATGAGCCCCTGTTTTGTAAAGACACAATTCCAACCCTCTCCAGCTGTTTGGAGGGAAAATCTGGAAGAACTTGCCCAGGATGAGGGGATTTCAAGGATCCCTCTCCCAGCAGGCTGGAGATGAGCTCTGGGATTGCCCTGGGCAGGCAGTTCTGCTTCCCAACCACCACCCTGGGGAGGCTTTTATTAGATGAAAACCCCCAAATTAACAAATACCACCCATTGCTCTATTGCACAGCCCATCCCTTGCACAGCCCATCCCTTGCACACCTGCAGTGCCAACTTCTGCTCACCTGCAGTACCAACTTCTGCTCCTTCAGCCCCTTTGCACACTGATCTGTAAGCACTGATTGATTCATTAAATGTCTCCAAAGTTAAATCAGTTTGAGCACTGATTGATTCATTAAATGCCTCCAAAGTCAAGCCATGGATCTTTTCCACTGTATTTTATTGTCTCTTCTCCCTGCCTTACAAACCTCCAGCACAGCCCTGAGTTCTGTTCACTGGAAGAATCTGTGTCAGTCCAGGGTGTATTTTTACACACAAGAAAGAGGCACCTGCTTTTCTGCAGTATTTCAAGTTGCAGTGTGTCTTATGGGAATTCTACTGGGGGTTTTTTTTGGAGTAGCATTTATTTGCAGTTCAGATGTTCACCCAGTTCTGTTATTCAGCCCTGGTTTTGTTAGGCTTCACATTTTTAACCCAGTTATGTTATGTATATTTAGGTAGGTAAAGTGTCAGGAAGGAGAATATATGAATACACACAATTTCTGCTGGTAAAAACCAACAGAAATGCTCAAAGCTTTGAAAACCAACTTCT